AAAGGTTTGAATTTGGCAAAAAGTCACTTTGATCCATGGCATTTTTCACTATGCTACAAGTTGCAATTTCTGTCCAGCTTCATTTGTACTTGCTCACAGGTCTCTAAACCCTTCCACACTCAAAAATTGAATGCAAACTCATTGGTTTAAGGCATTATTCTGATCAATGGAAGTTTACACAAGGGTTTAATCTATTTTTGGCAAAAAGTGAACAATGCCATTTACATAAAGCATACTTTATGTCAAATTGTATTTCTTGAGCCATACACCAAGCCTTTTGCTGAAAACAAGGCTCCCTAATGTCAAGTAAAGTTCACCAACTTTGAGCAGCTAGAGTACAAGCCAGTACAACCATAGCATTGTCAATTCTCACTTTTACTTCAAAAACCAAGTAAACTTGCAAAATATCCACATCTTTGAAAATCTGATAAGAACAAAGTTTGTAAGCATTTGAACCAAGTTTTGCATATTTCCTTGAGCCAGAAACACGAGCTATTCACTTCCTAAGCCTTCCAAAACACAAAAACAATATCTTCTTGCAAAACAGGGCAGCTTTGCAGTTGCACTTCCATCTCACAAACCACTCGTGCGTTTTGCCCCAAACCTCTTCCAATACATTCCATATAACCCATCTAAGCTATCTCAACCATTGGCCATTGACTGTAACTCCATTTGCAAGATTCACCATTTCTGATTTCAGCTTGTGCAGGTTGACTTCTACAGACTGATTCAAGCAAGCTCAAAGAAAACTAAGCATTGGGAAAGGTCCAAGGAAGTTCAAGCAAGCTCCCAAGCATCTCAGGCCTCATTGAAAACCTCCACATTGCCATACTCGAGTTCAACTGAAACAGGTATTTTCCAACTTTCAATCTCTCTATTTAGGAATCATTAGGCTTAGGTTTGTGAATAAAAAATGTAGTACTCATTGCCCTCAAGCTGTACATATGCATAGATTTCATTTAAGTTAACCATGTTGAGAGAATTTGATTGATGAACTTTCTGAAAAAGTTAGGTTAGAAATTAGGGCCAGAGAAATTCTCCCTGGTCTTTGAGAGTTAGATTAAGTTCTTTATATGGTTGGAATCGTGTTGAAAAATGCTATAACTTTTGTGTTGTGAGTTTTTGCTTTATAGCACGTATGCAGGAGTTAGACATTTGTACAGGAGGCGCGCGTAATTTTGAACGAAGGTTGAAGACGAAGTAGCTGGGTTGGGCCTGACTATTTCTCACTTTTGGCGCCCCCAGCTTGCTGATTGCACCCCCTGACCCATTTCATTATATTTTTATATTTTTCATTTCTCTTTTTTTTTTATTTCTGACTTTATTTTATTTTTCTAAACTTTAAAAACTACCAAAAATATTTTATTTGATTTTCATATTTTATTTTGTATTTTTTATTATTTTTTCTAACATAAAAAAAAATAGTTTTTATTTATAAATAATATACTTTTATCTTTTCTAAATAAACTTGTAAATACTACAAAAAATATTATACTTTTATTTTTATTATTTATATACTTAAATAATATTTTTCTAACATATTTTTATTTTTTTACATTTGTATATATTTTTATTTTATTATACATAAACAAATATTATAATATATATATATATATATATATATATATATATATATATATATATATATATATATATATATATATATATATATATATATATATATATATATATATATATATATATATATATATATATATATATATATATATATTCTTAAACCAAAAATTAGGGTTTTTACCCTTAACAAAAATAATCTTTTATTTTCTTATTTTTTTAATACATTAAATATTTTATTTTTACATACATAAAAAATAAACAAAGATATTTTTTACATATTTATAATATATTGAATATTTATTTAATTGTCTATTTAAATATTTGCTTATTTATTGTTTGATACAAAGAATTCAATTTGGATGTAATAGTTAATCTTAGGGTTTTATTTTCTTGCAAATACTCCCCATTCAAAATTGTATCTCCCTCCCCATATCAATGTTGTAATAGCGTAGATTTCTTTTACGCATTTATTGCTTTCAAATATGCCATGATAGAGATTAGGGTTTGTATGCAATATCCAAAATCAAAACAAATAGCTGACCTAATGCAAGACATAAAAGCATGTAAATTGACAACACAATGCACACATGCACCCCTAGGGTTTCATCCACTTGTTGCCTTTAAAATGGTCATGGTATGCATGTTGAGTATCTTGGCAAAGCAAAAACAAAACAAAAGATCATAGTCCCTCGATGACGCTATCTTGGTTGCTTATACAAAATGATCTAGTCCCTCAAAAATTTGCTAAAGATACTTAGCACTATTGCTATCATGGTCAATACGTGTACCCGCGTCTGTCCCGTTTAACATCCAAATACAAGGTTGTTTATTAAATACAATGGTAAAACAACAATGTAAAAGGGTTAAAAATGTGTAGGAAAGACTCTTGAGTAGATAGGGTAGACAACTCTTAGTTACTTGAACAAAACTTGCAAACACCCTTGTTATTTTCAAAAACACATCACAACACAATTTCAAAACATTTCCCAAAACAAACTTTCAAACATTGAAACATTTTTCAAAAGACAAAACACCTTTGTATACGTTCAAACAAGAATCATTACAAAAGGTTGCCTAAACAAGGCGTTTTTTCAAAACATTTTCAAAACCACACACAAAGCACCATTTCAACAATTGAAAAGTAAAAGCAAGTGATTTAAACAAGTAATTAAGAGCCTATGGATAATCATGGATGAAAAGGGTGCTTGCACCTTCTCTTTTTATAATCTACTCCCCGAATTCAAGAAAACACCTCAAAGGTATTTCCTGTGTTTTTTGACCTTTCTTTTAGATAAAATAAAAAGTCGGTGGCGACTCTTGCTAAACCGCAACATTTGCGAACACAAACGCAAAACCTCAAGTCAGTTCTCCCACCGTATCACAGACGACATTCATGTTAATTTTGCTTGCAATTTTTAATGCTTGCAATTCTATCACTAGATTTACAAGAATTATAGGGGAGTTATTTGACATGCTTATCACTGTTCTTTTCTTTCAAGAGGCTATAAAGGTGTTGTTGATTGTTTTGTTTCCTCTTTCAAGCAAAAATATTGTATAGATTGTGAATTTTGCAATGAACTTGATGGTAATTGTTTGAACCACAGGGACTGATAGGCGGGTTCAGCAATCTCAAAGTTGAAGAACCTTCCTCGGAGCAAATTCAATGGCAGTATACAAATGGATTACTTGCTCTCATTTTCTCTCTAGGACTAATCATCTCTGCACTTAAAAGCCGAAGAGCAAGAACATGGCGATATGGAACTCGTAAGTGATTCCAAAAATCTAATACCAATATACCACACCAGACCTTAAGCAAATGATTTTTTTGTGTCGTTTAGACTTGATTTGCCTTATGACTCCATTGTTCTTTATTCTTGTATTTCAATTTATGGAGGCTACGAGGCTTTATTGCAGATTATGGGTTCCAATGATGGTTGTCTTGTGGACTGCATTATCTTATATAAAGCTAAGCGTCGTTCCACATGATGTTCCTAGAAGGCTGTTTTGTCCACTTCCCTGGGAACCCACATCTCTTTATCACTGGACAATAGTAAATGTATATTGTTTTCATAGTTCATTGATATTAGTTTATTATACTAGGCTGTTTTGTTCATACTGTATTGATAGTAGTTTATAATACTATTGATATTTATGTTGTTGTAATTTGTATTTATGTTATGGTGGATTTAAGATGCAAGTAGTATGGATTTAATTTATGTTGGATTTAAAAATTACATGGAATCCGTTAAAAAATAGTCAATTTTTTTAAGAAAAAAAAATAATATTTTACATCGGGCCATAATTGATGTTAAAACACATCTTTTACATCGGACAAATAAGTTATATTTTTTTCACATCAGACTTAACAGACAATCGATGTGGTAAGTGTGTTTTTCACATCGGGTTGATGCCCAATGTAAAATATTTTTGATTTACTACATCACTTAACTTTACATCAGACTCAGACCCGATATAAAATGTGTTTTTCATCTGATGTAAAAAATCTTTTCTGCATTAGTGGAGAAAGTAACAAATAATAATTTATAATAAATTTCATTATTTTTTATGCATCCGTAAGATTTATTGGTATTCTAAAATCCGTCTATACTGTTCTTAGCGCCGTCTTTCACAACCGTAGACAAAATCAAAAATCTTATTTAGTGTGTTGGGTGAAGGCCAAGAGGAAGGAGGTGTTACTTAACTTAGTAGTTGATGAACTAAGCCGATAAACATTCTTTTGTACTTTACATTTTTTTTAAGCACATAAATTCAAATTTAAATTAAATCTTTCGTATTGTGTTAAATTTCAAAGGAGAAGAAATAATTTACCCTCACACATTATTGATTGATACAATAATTGATCTTAACCGCTGTTCATTTAATTCTTCCATTATTTGAGTTTCTTTTCATTCTTACTTCTTCATTCATTATCATATATATACTCTCTATTTTGATGATTAGATCATAGCCTTAAATTTCTACATTCTCTGTTATATCCTATCTATTCTCTGTATATATTTGCTTGTAAATTAAGCATAATTAAGGAACATTGAATTCCGATAATTTTTTAAGATTGTTTTTACACTTAATAGTCAGATGTTCAACTTTAACCAATTCAAAGATTCTATTACCGCATTTCCTCATCATCAATTGCCCTAAACCTGCACACTGCATGCAACTGTGTCCTATCTATTATAATATATTTTCTTGTTTTAAAATTTGGAAAATAAATGGACTAATTCACAGTGATGTTCCAATAGAAATAAATATATAATAATAGGTTAGTATTCCATAGATGTTCAACTTTCATTACATATTCAAAATCCAGAAAAACAACGATCAAAAGCTACAAACAAAATGCATGCATAGTAGGTACGATGAAATATAAAAACAATAAAGTTGAACAATCTCTGCAGCATTACTCAATTCTCTCCGGTTTCATCATCATCATCGTCATCATCAGAAGGTAATTTATTTAAATCAAAACCTTTGTTTCTTCCATTCTCATTTTGGTCTTCATCCGCTGCAGGTGGTGGTGCTGGTTCATCTCTCCTATTCCTACTCATGTCAGCAGACCTCTGTGATGGCGGAAGTGGTGCTGAGAACCCCGGTGGTTGTTCAAGTACTGCTGGTTGGCTTCTCCTTTTTCTAGCACTGCCTCCGCCAGCAGAAGACCCTTCCTCTCCTCTAATGGAACGATTCAAATCAACTATAAGTCCTCTAACAACATGTTGCACTTCTTCGTCAACCTGATTACCACCATCACCTGAAAACAATACACATTTTCTTAAAAATAATCTCTATCTCTATATATAAATTGGACCACATCACAGAAACATCAAAAAATAGCTTTATAATAATCTTAAACATACTTTAATTAAATATTTATCATAAAACTATAGTTAGGTTTTAGTCATATATATGTATATACCTTCAGCCGCAGGCACTTGTGGTGGTTCAAAAGTAGGTGGTGGAAAAAAACCACGGTGTTGGCGTTCAGGGTGCTTTCTCATATGTCCAAAGGCTGCCTTCCATGTCGCAAACTGTCTTTTGCATTCAGGACAAGTAGGAGTTCCTGGAGGAGGGTTTTTCACTTGATTGCTTTTTCTTTTCTTTGAACCCTTAGCACTATCTCCAACAGCACCACCACTCCCCATCACAGGCACATTTGCACCGTCCGCAGTAACAGCGATCGCCACAGGCCTAGAAGCACCACCATCCTGGGCTCCGCCGTCTTCGTTACCACCATCACCACCATCATTTCCATATATTTCATCATCCCCAGCAGTTAACTCAGCCCAAACTTCCCCAGCAGTTTTCATGATAACATTTTCAGAAGAACCCTCAGCAGCCTCAGGGATAGGGTTTGTTTCCGTGGGGGTGTTATCATGTTCAGAAGGAGGGTGTGGAGGGGAAACCGGGGGAGAGTTGTTCGGAGTAGAAGAAGTCGTGTTCTTGGAAGGGTCCATTGTGATGATGATGATGATGATGATGATAATACAAAGATTTGGAGAAATGAGTGAGAATTGTGAGTGTGAAAAATGTGAAGAGAATGCCAAGTATTTATGGTGAAGAAAAATGGAGGATTATGTAACGTTTCACAAAATTCATAAAACACAACCATTTGCGAAAAGATGCCAACATGCATAGATTTGATTTTGGTCGTGTCTTTTGGGGGGAAAGGTGGCGATATTCCATGTATCATAGAAATCAAATAAAATTTCAATGTATACACCATTAATATCACGGAAATTTGTCAGAAAATAATAAAATCACTAACATTTTACGTTTTTAAATTGGAATATTAAAATTTCATTTGACTGTACAATAAATCAATAAATTTTTTTATTTATGATTTTTCTTTATTTGAAAAGTTGTTAACTATATTATAAAAATTAAATTTAAATAATTATATAATTTTTTTAATAATAGATAGATATGTTAATCTATTGTTCAATGGCATTTGAAAATAGCTACAATATATTATATTTTTATTGAGCATCTGTCAAAATCTAGTTTTATTTTTAAAGGGCAATCTAGCTTATACCAATAATACATGTTTCATTTTCTCAATAATACCATTAAGTAATCTAGCTTATACCATGACTATCTCGAGGAGTATTAAGTTCCTTACCTTGGATTTTGATTTTAAGCCAAGTTTAAGAGGTCTATGAATTATATGAATAATAAGTGGGACTAGTAAAATATGAATCCGACTTTATGCTTTAATAGTGTTTAATTAGTTCTTTTAAGTGTATTTGTTTTGTTTGGTCTTTGATCTAATTTTTTTATTATTAAGGATTGAGTATTTCTTGTACTCTTTTTAATGTATTTTGCTTATAAAAAATAAAAAATTACTTTTAAAAAGTATCATATTAATAAATAAACAGAGATTAAAAATAGATAAATTTAATGAGTCTTCAAAAATAATTTAAAGGTGAATAATTATATTTTTACTTTATAATAAACGAGAGAATATATAAAACATTTCATTCAAATTTATTTAAAATATAAAATTACTTTAGACCAATCTTTATTACTTTTAGATTGTATTTCTTTTTTTTTTTAAATACAAAGCATATCAAATTATATGAGCTATGCACAAGAGAAAAAGATAAGGCTAAACAAATGTTACGAAAACAGAAAAAACCAGTCACACCAAAACTAACAAATAAATTGACACTCACACCACAGAAAAGTCTATTTAGAGACACCCAACACATCACTTTAGAAAGTGTAACCTGAAGAGAGGTAAATGTGATCACCTAAAAACACAAAGAAGGATAGTTGGTCACACAACTCATTCTTAAAAGTGAAGGTACCAGTGTTAGATAGGATAAGTCTTGTTCTGTCGAAGTGTATAGGTGTATGTCGCATAGCTAGTGCATATATGTTATCAGCTGTATTCAACAGAGTCGAATATAATAACTATTATAGTATGTCGAAATGTAGTTTTGGGCTAAAGTTGTATATAGTCGAATTGAGCCTGTGCTCCAGACTTTGTCATTAGCTCGCGTGCCATGCACGTTGACGCTCTGATGTGATCTCATTATTGTCTTCTATCTCCTACCTCGATAATGTGATATCCTTGTTAGGTGATTTGTCGCTCATGACGATTCACTCTCGTTCTTCTCTTGCCTAGATAACGTGATATCTTGGTTAAGAGTCGACACTTCCTTTTCTTCTTGCCACGATGACGTGCTATCATGGTTAAGAACTACCTATTTTCTCATTCTTGCTTGCCTCGATTCTTTAATATCTTAGTTAAGCCTCCCTTTATCCTATCTTGATGGCTCGATATCATGGTTAGGTTCTCTTTCTCCCTAGTCCTACCTCGATGATACGATATCGTGGTTAGGCGTGATCCCTCTCCCTTTTCTTCCTTTTCTTCCTTGGTAACATGCTACCTCAGTTAGGTGTGTGCTACCTGAGTGAGTGGATACTTCTCAAGCTTTATGTGTTTAATTTTTATTGCACGATTACATGCTCCCGTAGGATTTCTCGATTCAATCTTAGGAAGCGAATTGAGATGGACCTTAGGTTGCAAACCATGCATGACAACTCTAGGCTTACTATGCTAGTGTCCCTTAGACCTTTTTCTTTCTCTTTTACATTCACATTAAAACTAAAACTCTTTTTTTTTAAACTCATAAAAACACTCTAATACTACAAAAACCCTTTTTCAAGGTAAAAAACCACCAACCAATTCAAAATTCATTTTACCGCTTGGCTTTTCTTTTAAAACCCTTTTTCAAGGTAAAAACCATACAACAAACCAAAACATGTGAGCCGAACTACGTTTCTCTGATTCCTCAAAAGGGATACATAGGCATTAGGTCGCGGGGCCTAGGCGAGCAAAAATTTGTAAATATTCCTTCTTTTCCCCGTATTTTCTTTCACATGCATTTCCTCTCAACATTAAGCTTTAGACTTAGATTTTTACACACTCTTAAATTAGAGCAAACTTAAGTGGATATTATGGATTACCACAGACGCGTGGGGTGCTAATACCTTTCCTTCATGTAACCGACTTCTGTACCCTTTCTCTTGGTCACAAGACCATCTTATCCATTTTTTTGGAGTTCTCTCGATATCTTCCATTTCTTCGATATAAATAGAGTTCGATGATGACTCTGTTTTTTTTTTGCGTCGCGACAACTGGGATCTCAATCTCTCCTATTTGCGTTCCTGAAATTTATCAGTATGTTAGCAGTCCGATTTGTTGTGTTCAGTAGGCAAAAAGTTGGGATGGTGAAGCCTGGTCTTGGAACATCGAAGGTTTGGAGGTTTCTCGAGACAACATAGAGGTAGATGTTTCGGACGAGTTTACGAATCTACTATAGGGAGTTTCTCTTCACATATTAGATTCCGACGAGTGTGACTGGTGGCATGGTACTGAAGCTTTATTCATCGTCAAGTCCTGTTATGAGCATTTTTTGAAATCACTCCTCTGTTTCTAATTATGGAGGCAGTATGTTAGGTGCTCTAAATCATCTTTGGGCGGTAAAAGTTCCATCTAATGTTCTTTTTTTCGGGTGGAGATTACTACTCAATCGGTTACCAACTAAGGATCAACTGATGAAAATGAGAGTTATGTCAGATGGAAATTGTGTTTTTTGCGTGTCGGGAGTAGAAAACTCAGCGCATCTCTTTGGTCAATGTGAGGTATCGACTAGAATATGGAAGAAGGTTCACTGTTGAATATGCATCAGGCTTGAATTATCTTTGTCGGGATTGGTGAGTTATTTTCTTCATTGCGATAAAGTGAATTGCAAGTCGATTAAGACTACTGTAGCCATGATTTGGCTTGTAACTATGTGGAGTTTATGGTTAATGTGTAATGTTGTTATCTTTAAATACACGCCATTTGTGTTTGATGATTGCATGTCGGCTATAGTTCTTAGGGCGTGGACGTGGATGAATTCTATTTGTAAAATCGCAGATTGTAGCAATTTTTTTGATTTGGAATACTTTACTTCTCCTATGTTTTAGGATGTAGGAGCTTTTCGTTTGTTCCGCTGGAAGGAGTATCCCTTATACTCCACTTTAATAGATCTTTGCTTATTAAAAAAAACTTTCATGAATGATTTTTGTATGTAGCTTACCTTCGTGAATGATTTTACTTCATCATTTATATGCGTGAATGATTTTATTTCATCATTTATCATTAAGAAATAATTTATTTCATTATTTATCCGTGTAAATGATTTTATTTTATCAGTTATCTCCGTGAATGATTTTTATTTCGTCATCCATCTTTTTACATAAATCACTTTCTTACACGGGCTTATTATGGTTGATTTGGAAATCAACCTTATTCTCTGACATCTCATGGGGTCGCGCTAGACCAAGGGATTAATTAACTTCCATGGCTCCAAGTGAAAACATAGTTTGAGGAATATGTAGTTGGAGTTTCACCTCTTGTACTCTAGAATGGATAGCTACTAAAAAGTGGTGTGCCTGACGTGGTGTCATATCCCTTTCCATTGAGTGGTTGAATTTATTTATAACAGTGGATCACCTTTGTTATGTCTTTCACTGGAAATCATAATTATACAATTTAAGGGAAATTTTTCATTATTATGCGCAATGGCATTACATTTGTAAAGTCTTGTAAACTCAATATTTATGTAAACAAAAATAACTTATCTAAAATAACGCTTTGATTTTGTGGTGTTCTAGGTCCTTGGAATGAGTTCTCCGTGTAGGGTTCTAAGAGTTTAAGCTTCCTTACCTCTAATGGCCCAGACTTGTTATGGCTCCTCCCTATTAGTAGCGAGTTTGTCTTCTCCAGCATTCCTTCTTCCAACATCATCCATGTGGAGCACGAGGTCACTGGGTTGGATGCTTTGTGGCTTTGCCTTTTTGTTAAATTTAGTGGTTGAAACTTTCTTTATGATGGCTCTTGTGACGAAGGAGAATCAACTTGTTTTTAACTAGAAGATCTAATTATTCTCTAGTGGCTTGTGCATTGTCTTCCTCTTACAAAAGGGTGTGTCATCCGCCAAGTAAGTTTCCCAACTTCAACCAGAGTAACAAACTTAGTCTCGTGGGTGAGCCTGAATGGAGTTTTATCGGTTGGCAACTGATGCATAGTTTGATATGCCTAAAGGACAAGTGGGAGCTCATCGAACCAGTTTCCCTTGAATAGTTTAAGTATTATTTTCAGTCTACTCCACATTACTCGGTTGACGACTTTATTTATCCATTAATTTAGGGGCATTCCACTAACGTAAAGTGGTGTTTGATCTCCAAGTCTTCAAAAATCTTTCATATATTATTTTCTGTGAATTGGATTCCGTTGTCGGGGATAATGGATTGAAGAATTTTGTACTTTGTGAGAATGTTGTGTTTGAGAATTTTTTTTATTAATAACCATGTATTAAAAAAATATTTCGTAAATAATCGGGTTTCGGAAAAAATTACGCAAATAACCATGTTTCAGATGGCTCCACAAAGGAGGAGCCAT